GAGGTCTCAGGAATGGCATGACGTGGCCTCTTGCTATTGCACCAGAGTGTACATCATGCTAAGTGGCCTTTGAAGTTGAAGCTCACAGTAATTGATAGCAGTCGGCTAGAGGATATTGTTGATAAAAGATTCTGAAGCTCTGATTTGAGAAGACAACTCTGCAGCTGATGTTGATGTCTGCCAAAGCTTGGCATCAGAGAAGGGTTACAGAGTTGCAAGATTTAGCTTCTTCCTGGTTAATGGAAAGCACTTTGATTTGGGAAGATGAACATCCTGAACTTAAAGAGATCAAGCTCCGAACTAACATTGTGACTTTGAATCTGTCAATTAATTTTATTTCTCTCTCTCTCTCTCTCTCTCTCTCTCTCTCTCTCTCTCTCTCTCGTGTGTATGTGTGTGTGTGTGTGTGCGTGTTCTGAATCTGCTGAAATACAATGAATGTAACATCGGGCTTGTCATGTGGTCATACTGTTTCAGTATGAAGAAAGTCACTTGAGGAGCCGTGATAGGCATAGGTAAGAGTAAGAAGAGGTAAAACCAAGTTTCTGGCGGTCTCTTGGGATGGAAATGCTGTGAAAAAGCCATGGATTACCAATAATTAGATGCCCAATAAGCAGAGACATTCATTGTGAGATAACCCTAAGCATCGATATTGACTGTAGCATCCAGTCTTCCTTAGGAAGACCCAACACGTGGGGAAAAAAAAAAAAAAAAAACAAAGTCAAGAATGGAAAAGGCCAAAACATATCCTGTCCTTTCTTATGTCCTTCAGCTCAGCCACTGCTGCGAGATGGTTCTTAGATCTTGTAATTATTTGTTAGGACAAGAAGGCTACAACCCAGCACGAAGCTCTGTCTACATTGTGGAATTATCCTTCTCCTCTGTTTTCTTCATCTAACGCTGTGTGCCTCTAGCCTGAGCAGTGTGCACAATATCTTCCTTTCATCACTTCTTCCTCTTCTTTAAGGATATAATGACTTATATCCCCTTTAGTGAAGGTCAGGTCCAAACCTGAAACATGGAACTCTAAGCAGGATACTATCGTAGCGCTATTCTCACTGGCATGGTCTGTGGAATTAGGCAGAGCTGGGAATTGATTCTCGTTATAATCTTGTTTTGGTTAGACTGTGTTGGCAAGTTTCTTTTCTGTAAGCCATAATTTAGCACTTCAAGACTAGAGTTCTAATAGTATTTTATGGGCTCGTTAGAAAGGTTAAGTAGATAGGAGTACATAAATAGGACAGCAATTCTGCCCCCAGGAGGAATGCCATGTATCTTTCTTTGAGTCTATATTTAAATTATTAGACTGCTTCCAAAAGCATCTTTCCTCTGATTTTGGAAGGGCAGTAGTCTTTGAAAGCAGATGGAGAAGTTTATCTAACACCCAAAGCAGAGCTAGGTTCAGCCTCCTCCATGGTTGATAGCAGTGTACGTGGGTCTTAGTTGCAATGATCTGCTCACAGCCTGTGATAACTTGGGATGATAGAGTGCAAACTCTTCAAAATCCCCTTTCTCTCCTATCCACCTTGGCATCCAGAGTCCCAGCACAAGCCCTTCTCTATTGTTCTCAACCTCTCTTTGCTTATATTTGTGCTTCTTTCTTTACTGAGGTTGTCCATACCTGTCTTGCCTTTGGGGCGGGAAGGAAGATAAGAGCAATTATCTCTTTTATGTTATGGCCAGAGTTTAATAGTGCATATATATTACTGGGGTTCAATGTAAGTGAATATATGAACTACACTTATTCTTTGCAAGTGCTAGAGATGAACTCATAAGCCACAAACATTTTAGGAAAGAAATAAATCACTGAGCTACCTCACAGCCCAGTGGAATGACATTTCTTAATCATGATCTGAAACAGCATTTATACAGATACAGATTATCCAAGACTCCAAATAGAAATAAATCACTTCCGTAAACTGTTCTGTCTACTTCTAAGAGGATTCTAAAATATCTTACTGTCATAATTTTATTTCCTTTGGGCTCATATAATACTAGTTTACATAAAAATAAGTTTACCTTTCTGAATTAGCACTAGACATTAGTTCTAATCATGATTCATGATAAAAAAAAACAAATGTTTTTGATTTAAAGAAAAAGTCAGTGTATTATCCCTCTCTTATATATAAAACATTAATATCACCTGTAGTTAGTCAAGCTCTTAGAACTCAGAGGTGGCTGATATGAGTGCATGGTTACCATTTATCTATGTGCTCCGGCAGTACTGAATGTCTCTGGAGTTTGAGACACCAATGAACAATAACCAAGACCAAGTCATTCTTCCTATGGGACCAGTCAAGAACAGTAACTGCTGGTGGCCAGGGTTATAAGAAGAATTGAAATAGGACAATAAGCTAGTAATGAAAAATGTGTATCATAAAAATTCTTTGAGGAAATGACTGCGGAACTGAAATCTGAATGATGGGAAGGAAGCAGGAACGGGAGGATGAAAGAGTTGAAGGAAATCTCCCCCAGATTGGGAGGGAAGGAGCCTAGTATGTTTGAGGATCAAAAGAAAGATGGATATCCAATGTGTTTAAGGAAGGACTAGGAAAGGGAGGCTCACAATGAATGACTTCTGATAGGGGCATGGGAAATGGTGCCACTATCTTTAAGGGGCTGGCCACTGGGATTTGACCATCATCCAGGAGTATATGGGCAACACAAATTGTACTTGGTGTATTTTTTTTTATGCATGAACCTGAGAGAAATGGGGCATGAGTGTAATCGGGGTGTATTGTGTGAAATTTCCAAATAATCAATGAAAATATTATGTTGAAAAAAAGTAGGGAGGAAGAGGATGGGAAAGTCCCTCTTACCAAAGAAAAAACAACCCTGTGGGAGTAGAGGCTGGCAATCTTCTTAAAGAAAAACAAAGCAAATTCTTCATCTCTAAGTGTTTCATTGACCCAAGATAATCAAATAGCCCTGCTAGAGAAGGGTGATTTTCTTTGTTAGTATCAGATGGCCCATGGGTGGAGCCACCCTTCTCCCCTTGAAAAATGAACTCAGATTAATAGCCCCTTTCCTGGTTTACTGTGGATGTGAATTCCCAGAATTTAGGCCAAATTCATCTGTTTACCTCTTTCTTCCCTATCTCATATAATAACCAGGCCTGCCAAGCTGAGCTCTGTGTCCTGCCCCCAAGGCCTTGAGTCCAATAGTGTGATGGGTTAAAGCGCTTTGTATTCTGGTGAGACTTGCAATTGCTGAATTGCAGTTTTATGAGATCCCTTACTGCTTGGCTCCAGGCAGAAGCATGCTTTCTTAAAACAAAAAAAGGGGCAGGGGAGGGGGAGGATACAGTTAAAGAAAAATTAACAGTTTTGCTTTCTCTAGCAAGTTTCTAAAAAGTGAACAAATAATGTATGTGGTATGTATATACACAGAGTCAATCTCCGAGTATAGTGCGTTGACATTCATTTCTCAGTACAATACTAGGAAAGCATTCCAATCTACTCACTCGGATTTTCACTTACATTACAACCTTCAATCAATTACATATGATTGTCAGTACTTTATTTCAAAACTTAGATAATGTTTCCCATCTGTGGGCTAATGTTTACGAAAGGCTAAGCTAAGCTTTGATGCTCCTTAAGTTAGCTGTATTCCATGAATTTGTGTAAAGGTATTTTAGCTTACAATGGATTCATTGAGATACACCTTCACAAGTCAAGAAACTTATATGTATATATTCACACAAGGGCAAGTCTATATATCTCATATATATGTGTGTATGTATGCATATACAATAGGTTAACATACAAAAAGAAATGTAGAATATTAATGTAACCATAACTATAAGTTTGCTTCCAAATAAACGATAAATTTTAATCCTTCTTCTCTATACCTGGGTATTTTCTCAGATCAGAAATGTAAATATGTTGCCCTGTCTAACCTGTAGAATGCAGTTTCTTTGACACAAGAGATGACTTTTCTTTCAATATTTAACTGGAAATATCTTAGGCTATGAGTAATCCATTCAAGGAACCCATGTTATAGGCTGCTGTCAGAGACCTGCTTTGACAAAATTTGTATGTTCCAGGGTAGGAGCATGAGGGTTAAAATTACTAAGCAAAAGAAACAGGTATGAGAAAAATAAGAGACAGAAACACAGAACAGCACAGGGAGGGAAATTAAGTGAATGCTGATTCAGTCTGCATTTATTTTCCACATACTTATATACTTCACTCCGAAGGGGAGGGGGAGGCAACAAAGTTCATTAACATGATGTAAGTAATAGACTTAAATTCTCCAGCCTTTGGTCCAGATGGAGCAGATTCACCTCTATACCCCAAACACTAGCTAACCACACCCAAAGTCAGAATCTCTTGTTTGTAACCACACCTGTTGTCTACAACACTGAGAGTGCAAGAATAAGCTAAAACTCTCTGGTCTTCTGTCAAGGTGGAGCAGGCTCACATCTGTGCGCCCCACAGGCTGCTCATCCATGTGCCACATCTGACCACCATGGCATGTCTGTTAACTATAGATGAGGCTCACTGTACCTTTTCTGAGGATCGGTAGCCCCGTAAAACTGAAGTAGTCTGCTACCACACATTTTCCATGTTCCTATCTTTTCTCTACAGGGTAGCTTGGCCGTGTAATCATGATGACCTAGTAAAACCACCTAGATGGTCCAGTCTCTCTTCCATCACCGTGTCTTTAGCTACTGGGGAAGATGAGCCTCAGAATGGGGGAATCAGGTGATAATGGCCCAGAATAGATCTTGCCTCCTGCTGCAATTATCACAGCGAGCTTTGGTATCACTGTGCACATGACCATGTCTTTTCTTAAGTTCTCCTGTGTGCCAAGGCATCTCCCCCAAAGCAAACTAACCATCTTTTAAAGCTCTTGGTTGCTAATTATTTCTTTGTTCGTTTCTTAGTCTTCAAGAGTTCAGGTCCTGGGCCAAGGGGACTTAGTACTGTCCGTATAAACTACGCCCTAAGAATAGTACCCAAAGCAAGCCAAACTTTCCTTAACCCACCTGATTGCAGACGTCCTCGTGTGCCCGCTGAGGCCAGTGGAGCGCTTCCGTGACCTACGTCCTGATGAAGTGGCCGATCTGTTCCAAGTGACCCAGAGAGTAGGGTCGGTGGTGGAGAAGCATTTCCAGGGGACCTCCATCACCTTCTCCATGCAAGTGAGTAAACAAGTTGTTCAGACATGTTTCTTTCCTTTCTTCTCAAAGTTGTGCGCATTGGCTCTGTATCCCAGCCTTTTTATCAGAGATGTAGTTTTAGTGTTCCGCAGAAAAAAAAGATACCCCTAATCCAAGGCAGATGCCCCAAGGTGGTCTACAGAATGGCATCACAGTAAGTACCTGGTGTGCTGTTTACAACATAGGTGGAAGTCATAGACAAGAGATTTTATGGGCTTGACTCAGTTGGGATAAGGCAAGCCAAAGGCAATTTGGAGGAAGAAAAGGTTCATTTGCCTTACATCTCCACACTAAAGCTGGCCATTGAGGTGGGCTAAGACAAAAGCTTAAAAGTTAGTGACCTGGAGGCAGGAGTGGAAGCAGAGACCACCGCCAGCAGTGCTTACTAGCTTGCTTCTGGGTTCACGTTCAGTTACCTTTCTTAGATAGTCACAGCTCGCCCTGCTCACAGTACGTCAGACCCTCCCCAATCAATTGGCAGTCTAGAAAATCTCCCCACAGACATCTCCACAGGCAAATCTGATGATATGATAGAAATTCCTCGCCAAGGTTTCCTCTTTCTAGTTTTTATTCTATTTTGTGTCAAATTGATGAAAACTATCCAGTAGTAGGATTTTACATAGGAAGCAGAGTTGGGGAAGGCTTTTTGCTCTGTGGTATGTTCTGACAACTGTGGATCCAAGGAGAACAATGACAAAACAGCTAATCTGAGCCTTCTCTTTGTAGGGCTCACTATTCTCTAAACGTAATACAGACCACAGTGTTGAGTCACAGGTTTTTACTTGCGGTTGTTGAGCATGGCCCGCTACAAATGGAAGAAAACAGATTTTTTAATCATCAGAGATCGACAGGTCGAACTTGACCTAGTATTCTTCAGGTCGAGAGAGGGATGTCCGTGATACATCTGTCAAGAGTTGGGAACTGAGTAAATTAGTAACACCACATGAGCCTCTTCGCATCCCTGTGGTTAGGGCTAGGGTTGGCCTTGCATGCATAAGGGCCCTTGTGCTTAGATGTCATTGACTGGCTTCTCCCACGTGTAGGGACTATATCCTGAGCTGCTCTAGTGAGCCAGCATGCTTCCCATCTGCATCAGTTAGTCTTGTTGCTGTAACACAATACCCTGGCAGATCTAAATTAAGGAAGCAAAGGTGCATGCATTTTGACTCACAGTGTGAGATTAGGGAAATAGTAGGAGGAATACAAGGCAGCTGCTCACACCATAGCCACAGTGTAGCCCAGAAGAAAGAGTATTGATGCTCAGCTCACCTACTTTCTTCCTTTCATTTAGTTCAGGTCACTAGTCTTTGAGATGCTGCTACTGATTTTTAGCATTGAATTACCCTCCTCAATCACTCTAATCTAGAAACTCCCTGATAGACATGTCTAAAATTGGTTCTAAAACACATGACCATCAATTGTTAACCCTCACACCATCTTTATGATCTTTCCTATGCTTTTTATCATAGAGCCCCCAAATAGACTAGGTTATAAAAGTCAATATTTTGAAGTCTTTGACCAAAAATGTTCATCTCTTTCTTGAAACACAAATTCTGGTTTCTCTGTATTGGGAGTAGCTCAGCATCCCTATAAATACAATTTGAGTCACCTTCAGACAGTAGTTCAACTTGGGGTAGGTTTATCAAACCTGTATTGTGAACCATTCCCAAGGAGACCAGGTAAAAGAAATGGATGAGAACATCTGCCAGGAGGTATCAGGATTGGTTATCAGAGCATAGTTCATTAGTATAGTGACTTCTATGTGTAAATTAGAGCAGTTTTGCATAAGTCCTGTTGTGGAACCGCTTTAAAATTATACTTCACAGTAACATATATGTGTGTGTAACAATTCTGTGTACCCCATCACATACACACGCACCTATGAAGATAAAGAAGTAGAGCTGCATAAAGTAACCATAACTCAACATCCACGTTTTAACAGCTTTCTTCTTGAGCACTGGTTAGAATGATGGGTTGCCTTCATAAGTCATTAATGGGTTATGGCTCAGGTTTGAACAGGCTTGATATGCACATCAGACTTGTGCCAATGGGGCGTGAATTCTTCCCACTAGTCAGGTTCACAGAGATGTGTATTTAGCCAAAACCACAGACTGATAATTCTATTTGGAAAATTTTTATTGCGGAGAAATTTGCCACCTTTTCCCTGGAGCAACCGCTTTCCCTTTCTATGGCATTTGGAGACTAGGCCTGTGTGCTTGAATTCAACAAAGACAATGACAGTAGGCCATAGTCTTGCTGGCCATGAGAATCTGGGAAGGGGGATAGATACATGGATAAGGGTACACCCCCATCAACCACTTCTACTTTTCTGCCTCAAGGTCACAAGAGCTTGAAAAGATTGTGCCCATCGAAATGCTTCATCTTCTTGCTTTGTTGATTTCTAGAGGAGAAATTCAATCAGATATTAATTAAGTGATTTCTGATTTAAAGATAACCAAACTGTGGTCCTTTGCCTCCTCAAACATTTTCGGCCTTACCTTTAATGTGATTACAGCCATAACTGAACGCAAAGAGCATGAAAAGGAGAAAGGAGTGGCTTGCTTGATAATTCATATCATTTTATACATAGCTCCTCACTCAGAAGGAATTGGAGACCTGTCTGGTCCCACACATTCAGAATGAATGGTCCCCATGGGACTACTACAAATTAACACACGATGAAATTGGATCTAAATTATTAATGAGCAATATTTCTGAATAAGCAGGCAATATCATCCGTCAGTTCTCACCTCAACTCTTTCTCTTTCTTCCTCCTTCTTCTAGGATGGTCCTGAAGCTGGACAGACTGTGAAGGTGAGTGGTTATTATGTGCACACAAATTAATAAGAGGCGATTATGGGCGCTAATAAAAAAATCACAATGAGCCATTTGCGGCACACTGCTGTTTCATTATGTTATCTTCGAGGTCAGAGAGACCCTCGGTGTAGGAACCATAAATCCTGACATTATAAACTGTGCCCAACAGTATGTTTCCCATTAGTTTACAAGACATTTACCCTGTGTAGTAAAATCATTACTGTGAAAATGCTAAAACAGAAACCAAATCGAGGAGTCCTAAATCAGAACAGGGCAGGGCGCCTCAACTTTCTATGGTTTTATGGGTCCTGTACAGACTAGATCACCCGGTATATTTTTACTTCTGCACACAATTTAATTTCACTTATCCCTTCTTCAAGAAGGGGACATTGTTGTGTGTCAGGTTCCTCCTTTCCCTCCGGGTCCCTTGACCTGTTTTCTCTTCATGCCCACATATTTCTCTTCTCTGTAGCAACTAAATATCAAAGTCCAAACTTAATGGGATCATTGGAGTTCAAAAATGGTTTTGAAGTGGGCGAGAGAGGAAAGAAGGATTTATTATGACAGCCTCTAGGACAGAACTAAAAGAAGAGCCTGCTGGTTATGAAACAAGAGTCCAGCTTATTTCACAAAACACTGGGTTCGATGCTTAAGTGACAGAAAAGACTGGGTTTGCAGTGGTGGAAGTGAGAAGCCAACCATACTATACAGCTGATGCCACACATGGTGAAATAAAGCTTTGGGCTTTAGGGAGGGCCTTGACTAGCAGGGTAACTTGGCACTAAGTCACACCAAATGAATGTTTCTCCATTGTAGTATATAGGAAATAGGATATCTGGGGACTTTCATGGTGAGTGGTTGTCGCAAAAGGAAAGCCAGCAAATTCCTAGTGATAAAAAGAGTGACCCCAATTTTTCCAAACACATGACATAGCAAACACAGTTGAGTGCCATTCTGCTTCCATCCATGCCCCTGACCATGCTGAGCATCCAAATATTCAGATGTCAAAAGAGGATGCAATATCAGTAACTTTGTTTTGAAACTGATTCCTGAAATACAATGCGTAGATATTCAAGCTTGGCTGCCAGAGTTTTAAAACTCAGAATTCAAATGTAAATTTAAAATGCACTGGATTAGGGTTTAGTGAAGTTTCAGCAAACATGGAAAGTACCAAAGGCGGAGCAAGTGCATGGAAGAATGCACAGCTATCCAGTAGAACACAGAGATGGCTAAACAGATGAATGTTATGTGAGCAGGTGGATTATGTACTCTCAAGATTTTACTTCACAATTCTAAAGAGGGCAGGTAAGTTATTTGCTATACAAATGGACTTGAGTAGGAAAAAATAACTTAGAAATTCCCAGGGACCAGGAGAAGGATGAAATGGGGGTGAGTGCTAAGGGCTCTCTTTTGTGGTTGATAGAGATGTTGTGGTTTTTGAAAGATGGAGATGATGTTTTAAACATAATTCTTTAAAGGAGACAAGTAAGCCTTGAGTCCAGAAGGCTGAAGACCATGTCTATGGGGCTTCAAACTCCATATTGTCCCACTTGCCTGAACAAGGTGTCATGGTTTTGTTAGCGTTATTGATGTTGATGATGGACAGATTTATAATATAAAGTATTATGTGTGAATTATTAAGTGTACTTACCATAGTCAGTATTGTTTCACTCAAGTTGATTTCTGTAAACAATTGTATCTTTTTTTCTTTAAAATAAGCATATTACGTTTGAAAATTTTTTGTTCTTTCCAGATGATCACCCCATTTCCACAGTATAAATTCATGGGGTCCATTCACAACCTTTGTGGAATATCATACATAAAGAAAAATTCATCACACACACACACACACACACACACACAGAGTCCACGATGAAAAGATAGTAGACATTTGTTAACTATTCTGCTACAGCAAGTCCTTCTATATAGAAGTATATATTCTGTGTTTGTCAAACTTTATTTACACCACATTCCATGAAAGTTTATCTGGATGCCAGCTAAACAGCCTAGCCGCGACCACAAAGAATCTCAGCTGTTGTTTGGGTAAACCTCCTAATTAATAACGCTGGGATAGGACGGGAATCTTCATTATTACACACAGTCTGATCTTTCCAACAGTGGGTGTTTCCCAGCCATGTTATCTTCTGCTGACCAAGTAACTTGGTGATGGCCTTTGGGTACCGGGGATGCATAGAGCCCCACCCTGCAGCACAGGCAGCTTCTCCAGGGAGCAGAGTGGCACCTTCAGAATCCAGATGTACCATTTGAAGGTTCTGGGTCGAGGCTGGGAGCATTTGATGTTTTGAAATTCGCATTGTTGCACATTTTAAAGGGACGTTTGACAGCCTACCATGGAAACCCTGGGGCATATCCTTTTTTGTTTTTCTTCCCCTTTTCCTATGTGTGAGATTCTCAGTGCTGTGTCTGATGTCTGAGCTCTAAATCACTTTTGTCTCATGCCAGGTAGTAATAGCAATAGCCCACTAATGGTCTTTTTCCCTGAAGCAACTGTTGTTATTGTTAATGAGGGGACACCACTGAGTTAGCCTCTTGAACATGATGGCACTTCAAGATTTTTTTTTCCTGGGGCTTTAGATTCTGCCTAGCAACACACAGGGTGGCCTGGCTTACTCAGTAAGACTCATGTAACAAGGAAAAGGAAATATTGAAGTAAAAAGTGACCTCTTATTTGACAATTGATTATTCGGTTTCCTTCTCAAGCTTAAAAGTAGAACACTGCCAGGCACCAGATGTTCAGTGCGGTGATCTGGACACCCTGCAGGTTTCAGAGGAAATCTGTGTCCTCTCTCAGCTACTCAGCCCTGCCCAGTACCCACGCAAGTTGACCTGGTGAACATCATGCTCCTTGTCCTGTTGGCTAGCTGGATTCCTGTCAAGAAATTCTTCATTGTCTCTTGCACATTTGTTTGTTTACAAATGTTCATTTTTCATGCTGCCTCTTTAGTCTCCAGGGAATGTACACACACACACACACAGATACACATATCTATTATGATTTTGGATTTTGGATTTTGTCATTACTGATGGTGCTTAGAACATGTTGCCCAGGAAGTTGGCTTGTTGGCCGCTAGAATAGGTTAAGATGAAGGAAACTGAGAAAACTGTGGCAAGAGGAAGATTCACCCTATAGCATCATTCACCATTCTACCTTGAAGGAGGCCATAAAAGAATTATCTGACCTATCTACCCCAAAAGTAGAAATAAGACAATCTCCCCCAGAAGAGCCCTGCTTTTTTTCTGGTAAGTTGTGAAGACTCGGGACAAGCAGGTCTCCATAAGTTACCCCAGCTTACTGCTGTTAGATCACAGCGCTGCTTTCTTTTCCGAGCTCTCTTCCTCCTCTCCATAAAAATACTTTGCCCTGTTTCTTTAGGTATTTGTGTCTGAAGCTGCATAAAATTTAGATCAAGTGGATGTGCTTCGGTGCTTTTTGTGCCGAGAATAATCTACTCCTGAGTCTCTATCATTAGTCCCAAGGAAGCGACAATTGATGCTCCTCTGTTTTCCACTGTACAGCCAGGCATTTAGGTTTCCTGAAATTTCTGTGATATATTTCCGATATTGTAAGCATCTATCTAAGCCTTCCCTACTACTTCCAGTGTCTCTCCATACTTCCTTAGCTCTCCAAAATCTCTATGGCTAATTTTGGCCAGCTAGGAGCTAGCTCTGACTTCTGATTCAAAGTAAACTTTGCTGTCAGTCTCCTGAGTGTCAGAGGGCAATCAAAACATCCCACACCACTAAATCCTAATCCAAAGTGTAATTCTAGCCAAGCCAAGGCACTAAGGCAAACTCATTCTTTTAAAAGGAATGCCTTCTAATAAGCTTAAAATGAAACATTTTCTCTGAGGCTGTTACATGAGCATCTTTGGGTATATTGAGGGAAGAGATTTATTCCTGGTAGGTAATCTCACAATCTATTTATAGATCATGTTTGCATATACTCTTCTGTGTTTGTGGTGCTTGGATGCTGTACTTAAAGGTTTAATTTTATGCTTTTTAATGCAGGAGGAAGTATGTCTTAATAACTTGAAATATTAGCAATTACTTTCTAGATTGCTCCAGCAGAAAAAGAGTTCTTTTAAAAAAAGATTATTAAAAATTATCTTTAATCTCCTGCTCCCTGTGGCCCTTTTGAGTTTCCGGGATCAGGAGGTCTTACACATGACATGGCCATATTGTTATTGAGTGCACATAGATGACACCTAACTATCAGCAAAGTTGGAGAGTTCATGTACCTTGGCATCTGCCAGAGGTGCCATGGGAAGGTGAGCTCTATGACTTACTAGCTTTGCCACTCTGGGGCAGCCTCTTAACTGTGAGCCTTGATTTTTTAATTTTCTAAATGGAAAACCTATTGAATTAGATGGTGATGAGAAGAAGCTGACATGGATATATAGGGAATGTATGAGGTACTGGGTAGGACTGATATACATTTATGAGATTTGGACCTATATGCCACATCAAATCCCATCCTTCTCGACATATGCTGTTGCTGGTGTGTGTGTGTGTGTGTGAGTGTGTGTCTGTGTAAGTGTGTGTCCATGTCTGTATCTCTCTGTATGCTTATTTGTGGGTGCCAGAGAAGACTTTGGGCATTGTCTTTCAGTGTCTCTCCACCTTGAGTTTAATTGAGTTAGGGTCTCTGAACTGGAGCTCAGAAAGTCCAATAGACTAGATAGATGGTCAGCAAGCCCCAGAGATCTTTTTGTCTCTGCTCTCTCAATGCTGGATTGAATAGCATACACATTATGCCTAGCTCTTTCACATGTGTGTTTTAGCCATAGAACTCAAGCCCTCATGTTCACACAGCTAACACTTTAGTGATTATACTATTTCACCAGTCCTCTTTTTCTTTCATGCCTGTGTGTTTGTGTGTTCTATCTGTGCATGTGTCCGTGGACATTCTTGTGTGTGAATCCAGGTGTACACAAACCTCAGAGCACGTAAAAGGGTCAGAGGGCTCCCACATATCA